ACACACACACACACACTCTCAAACACTCAACCGCTCGCTCTCACATTCACTTGTCACCCTTTCAGTTCACCTCAATTCACCTCCAGATTTTGAAAGGGGAAAAAAGACCCCATGGTCCTATTATTCACACCCTGCTCAGATGAGGGTCCCCTTACAAAACACGTTTTTGGTGACCAGTTAACTCCAACGTTTGTCTTTCTGTATATTTGTTTGCTCAGCTCGTGTGTGTGTGTGTGTGTGTGTGTGTGTGTGTGTGTGTGTGTGTGTGTGTGTGTGTGTGTGTTTGTGTGCGTGTGTGTGTTCATTTCTTTTTGTGTGATAATGTGTTCATAGTGTGTGATCTGTCAGTGCGCTTCGACACCCTTGTACATTTGAAATCGTCCTGAAGTTGTTTTGCAGCTCCTTATTTTACTGTTTTTATAACGCCTGCTTGTGTGTTTTTTAATCCAGTTTTCATGGTGGAAAATTGTTTATCCCTCGCAGCAAGAAGTGTTTGCCAACTGTATATATCTTTCCTTGTGTGTTTTTAAAAAAAATGGTGTGTTCGTAGTGGATGCTTGGAGGTGGACATTGGACAACCGTTTTGACGAATTTGGGGTTTCTGAACAGTCGGAACTTTTTGAAAAGTGTTGGCGGCTGTACAGCCATGTCGGGGAAGGGTAGTGGTGGTGGTTCTAGTGGTACTGATTCTGGGGGTACTGATTCTGGGGGTACTGATTCTGGGGATGATAGTTCTCGTGCAACCCGTCGCGCGAGGATTCTGGCGCAGCGAAGAGAAACGGTGCGAGCTGCAGTTGCAGCAGAAGCAGCACGAAGAAAAGCGGCCGCGGAAGCAGCAGCTGAAAGAGCAGCACTTGCAGAAGCATCAGCGGCCGAAGCATCGGAAGCAGCAGAGTCGGAGCTGCAGCAAAGGTACACCGAACTAAACCCGGAGGCCTCCCCGGGCAGTCCTTCCAGTAGAGCGAGGAGACTGGCACGGCTCCACGAAAATTCCGTCGAGCGTGAAGGTGCAATGGTAACCGTGGCGCAGTGGATCTTGACTTGTTTTCCTCCGTCTGGAGAGGGTGCCTCCTCAGGCGGAAGTGCTGGCGCTGGTTCTGCCAGCCCTAGTAGGAGTGTTACAGAAGAGAACTCGCCGAGTCAGGACATAGCTGCTCGTTCTACAACGTTAGAGGCGCCGCCACGTCCGTCTCACGATACCTCTGACGCACACCGTCACGAGACCACGGGGACGGTACACGTGCTGGCTTCGGACTGTTTAGTTGGCGGTCAGAATGCAGCAACAGAGGAGGGCGTGCAATGTCCGGACGTGAGTATTTCTAGAACGAGTCAGTCGCCATGTCTGTCCTCAGCCGACTCTGTCACCGACCGTTCTGGGGTCACGGCAATGGAACTTTGGCCGTCAGAGAGTAGTCTACGGCAGGATATTGGTTCTGTAAGTCGTCAGCTGGGGGCTATAGCAGAGAGTCGTGGTGACGATAGCGCGGGCAGTACTTCTGTCCGTACTCTTCCTGGGTCGACTCCCTGCTGTGGTGAGGCTACAAGAGAACCGTTTGAGTCTCCTCACGGGGCGGGGTTGAGAGATGCGCATGCTTGTGGGGCAAGAAGCCTGGATCAGAACGACGGCGGTGTGCAGCAGTCTGGAGAGACCCTTGGAAATAGTGATGTCGGAAACAATTATGTCAGTAGTGACCAACGTCAAGAGGGGAAACGGGAACGAGGGTTTATCAAAAGGAGGAAAACTGGAGAGTCTGATGATGACGATAATGACGATGATGATGAGAATTCGGCGATGAGGCAAAGTAAGAAAGCTAGACTGGCGAAAACTGATTCGGTACCTAGTTTACAGGGGTCGGGTGGTGTTGATAGGTCAGATGGGGCGGCTCTCTGTGCTCCTAGTGCTACTACAACTGAGCGAAATTTTGCAGGGAGTACAACGAGCGGACCTAGTACGGCCACAGAATACAATAGCATTGAGCGTGTTAGGTCCACGATGGGCCAAGGACCCGACTCCACATTGATGCCGTCAATATGCTGGGAAAATCTTTTTGTGTTTAACGAGAGCTACATCAGGATGATGCGGTGGTTGTTGCCAGACAGGCATAGAGTCTACCACAACTTTTTGTACGGGCCCGGGTGTGATGAGGTAGTCGACCCTAATGCAGCCATCCGGGAGTTAGATGATGTGGTGAAGCCTAGGAAACGTCGTTTGGCCCGGGACAACGAACTCGAGCTGGTTTGGAAGAATTGTCGGGATTATGATTTGTACGTGCGTCGAAGATACGATGGGAATGACTGTAGACGACCTTCAAGTGGTCGGGGACAAGCTGGGAGTAGTAGTGAACGAGCTGGGAGTAGTAGTGAACTAGCTGGGAGTAGTAGTGAACGAGCTGGGAGTAGTAGTGAACGAGCTGGGAGTAGTAGTGAACGAGCTGGGAGTAGTAGTGAACGAGCTGGGAGTAGTAGTGAACGAGCTGGGAGTAGTAGTGAACGAGCTGGGAGTAGTAGTGAACTATCTGATGGCTTTTATGAACGGAGTATGATCATGTTTTGGCACCTTTTAATTCCTGAACCAATTGACAATATTCGTGATGAGACTGAGCAATTTGCTCTCATAAGAAGACGAGCCCTTTTGCTGAACGAATTGCTCTGTCGGTTTCGGCTCATTGAGGCCAACAGAAGGAACATGGCCAGAGGGAGAGACGGAAATCCATCGTGTAGAGAGAATGGTGGTGTTTCGAGAGATGCAAATTTGTCCGAAGGAGAGAATGATTCCAAAGGGAAAGTCAATAATAATATGCCCAATAGTGATAAGGATGTAAATGTGAGGGATGGTGGCGTTTCATGTAGAGAAGGGTGCAGTGCTGTTGGTGTACATAGTTTAGGACAGGCTGCTGGTAGTGTCAGACAGAGTGCTTTACCTAGTGGAAGAGATGGTGATGGAGAGAATAGTTTACCCAGCAGAAGAGGGAGTGATGGGGAGAATACCGGCGGACGAGATCATGTTGGCTATTCTGTAGAAAACGATTTGTTCAGTGAACGAGACGGTAATAAAGAGAACGTTTTACCCAGTGATGAAGATACTGGGACAAGGGAAAATGCTTTCCCTAGTGGACGAGATAGTGACGGTACATGCGAGAGTGCTTTACCCAACGGGCGAGATAGAAATGGTACAGGAGAGAATGATTTTCCCAGTAGACGTAATGTTAGTTGTGCTGAGGAGAATAATTTACCCCCTGGGCAAGATGATTCTGGTGTCGAAGATGATTATTTACCCAACAGAGTGGACGGTAGCGCTGCTCATACATCTTTTGGAGCAACTGGCAACGCGGATGGAGGCACGCGATCTTCTGGACCAGCCAGTGAGGTGTACCCGATGCGCAATATTAACAAACTGAGGGCAGTCGTGAGGACCGGTGGTCGTTCTAGAGTGCTGATGAGAGATAGAATCGCATTGGCTGTCCGTTTAACCGAGCTCAACGAAGACAATTTAGCAGCTTTGAACTACAGAATAGTTACGGGGAGGACCCGCGCTCTGTGGACTCTTGACATGGCGGCAGCAAGGAGGAAGTGGGATGTATATTTGAGGTATAACCCTGCCCCGGCTGACCAGCCTCGCACGCGTAGTGTTCTGGAGGAATATTTGGGCCCAGGTTTTAGGAGATTTGACACTAGTCCAAGTGGTGGTGGTGCTGCTGTTGCTTCTGCTGCAGCTGATGGTGGTGGTGGTGCTACAGGTGGTGGTGGTGGTGCTGCTGCTGCTGCTGCAGGTGGTGGTGATGTAAACGGTGGTGGAGCAAGTGCTCGGGAAGGCCGTAGTGATGGGGGTGGTGGGCGTAGGCGTTGGCGTCGGCGTCGGCGTGGGCGTCCTACGGATTGCGGCTGTGGTGGAGGATGCGCTCGCTGCCAGCAAGAGCCAGGTCTAGGGAGCAGTGCCGCGGACCTCGGGGAGAGTTGCCATGGCGACGAGGACGCCGTGGGCGAGGAGGAGGACGAGAGGTCGTCAGTGTGTAGCCTGCTGTTCAGCTCGGTGGAGTCCCGCACGTCCGCCTGTTACGACGACCCCGAGGTGGCCTGCAGCTGTTGCGAGCACAACCACGGCGGGGGTGGGTATTCTGAGTCTGATTCGGGTTCCGATGAGTCTGTTAGTGACGATTCCGAGGATAATGAGGTTGATGAGGGTGAAGCTAACTTTGTTGCTGCCATTGATGCTTGTATTTTAGCTGATATTGCTGTTGCTTACGCTGCTGGTCGTGATTCTGCTTGTGAATGTAGGGATGCTGGTGATGATAGAAATGATGAAGCTGGTGAGAATAGTGGTGATGATAGTGAAGATGCTGCTGGTGAGGACAGTGATGATAATAACAATGGTGCTGCTGCTGGTGATGATAGTGATGATGATGCTGGTGAGGATAGTGATGTAGCTTCTGGTGGTAATAATGATGATGCTTTTGATTATGGTAATGATGATGCTTCTGATGATGATAATGGTGATGCTGCTGCTTGTGATGGTCATGATGATGAAGCTGTTGATGGTGTTGGTGCTGATGCCAAGGCCAAGACAGCCTCTTCTGATGATACAGGTTCTGCTAATGGTGCTGATGCTGATCGTAATGCTGACGGTGACAATGAGAATGCTGCTGATTGTGGTGGCGATGATGATTCCGCTGCTGGTATTCGTTAAAATGGTGTTTCAGCGACGGGCGAGTAGGCCGGTCAAAACCAACCTGACATGTTGATGCTTAGGGCTTTTCCTGGCTGGGGGG